GGACGCGCGTGTGTGGGGCCCACGTGGGAGTGCCGTGTACGTGTACCTGTGCCCGAGCTGTATACACACGCCGCACACATGCCACGTGCGTACTGCTGGGCGTGAAGCGTGTCTGTGCATGCACCTGAGAACACGTACACACGTGAGCACACGAGCCTGCGTACCTATGTGCACGGAGAACGCACCTGTAGATGCACCCGAGCACGTGTGCGCACGGGGAACACACACACGGGCACGGGGTATGTGTGCACGCCCTGTCACACGTGTGCACGGCCACATGCGCGTACGACCTCCTTCCTCCCACACACACTACCTTTGGGACCCGACGGCACCGCCCGCCCGCCCAGCCATCCACGTCAGTCACTGAGTCACAGCCCCAGCCGCCAGCCCACGCCGTAGCCCGCTCCACTGCGGACTCGGCCTCCTTCTGAGCTGAGGGCTCTGTTGTTCCTCGCCTTCCACCAGTGAGCACCTCCGCCTGCCCAACTAGTGGCCAAGGCCGCAGACGCCAGGGCCCGCACCCTACCTTGCTGGCCAGGATGCGGGAAACCTCATCATCCACTGAGCCAGGGGCCACCGCCAGGTCAGGGTTGCTGCTGCTGATGCTCTTAGAACGGGTCAGATAGAGGCTGGCAGGGCGGCCAGAGCCACGGGACAGCGTGGCAGCCTGCACCGTCACTGGGGGCGCCCCTGAAGACAGAGGGGAACCATCAGACACAGCCCACCTGCCCTTCGAACCCCGGCCCCTTCCCACTGGCTGTCCTGCAGTCACCACGCTCCTCTGCACTTCTAGGTTCCCCGTGGCAAAATGGGCACAGAACGCTGTTTCAGAGCCACCTGGGCACTCTGAAAGTCACAGAATAATGCCCCTTGAGTCCCTGCTCCAAGCTACTAAACAAGGTGCTAATCAGCTGCCAGTCAGCTGTAGATCCCACATCCTGGGGGGAAAGGGAGCAAAATGTTATTTCTTCTGCAAGGTGCCAACCACTTACCCCTGTGCAGCCCCAGGACCCTTGCACGTACTACTTTCTCTCTGGTTCTTTCTGTACCCCAAGGTTTCTCACCAATACTCACCACCTGCAAGGCTGGGCTCAGCCCCAGGGAGGCGAAAGGCATAGTGGACATAGGCAGCCAGCACTGGGCAGTGACCACGGGCATCCTGGACTACCTCTAGGCTCCGGTGGACAAGGCTGACTACGTGAGCCATCGCTTCAAAGGCCCCACGGCCTAAGTTCACTGTCGGGCAGAACAGAGGTCAAGTTTCAGGGCCCGAGGCCCCTCACCCTCCAGAGGAAGAAATTAATGTCCAAGGACTCGTGTGACCTCCCAGGGGATCTCGGAGGATGCTCCGGGAACAGGCACTGGGGAGGGGGAGCATTTTTCACATGGGGGAACAGGTCAGAAAAATAAACACAGAAGGAAACTCAGGATCACTCCCGGATGGGACAGCAGAGCCCGAGGCCAGGCCTGCTCACCCATCTGGCCGCCGATGATTGGGGGCCGCACGACCAGATGCTGGAGCTTGTCCAGCACGTGGTGGGAAAAGGCCACCAGGGGCTCGGGGCTGGCCAGGCGCAGTGCCGCGAGGCTGGCACGGAGCTCCTGCTCCACGGTGCCCTCGTTCACCACGGTGTCCCTGAGCCGGAACGGGAAGGCTCCCTCCTCCAGGACGTGCACCAGAGTGAAGAACTTGTCCAGGTGGGGGTCCTGGTGGAGGGGGACCCGGGGCCTCAGGCAGAGCGCCTGGTGCAGGCAGCCCGAGCCAGCGGCTCCAGGCCCCGCTGACCAAAGTCATGTCCCCCGATCCAGACCAACACCTCTCTGGCCGGCGGCCGCTGTTGCCCAATCGCGGCCTCCGCCCACCCGTACCTGGGGGTGCACAGAGGACGCAGCTGTGAGCTCCACGCTGAACACGCCCTTGTGGCCGTCCACCCAGCGCATGCCCGGCAGCGCCACCTGGGGGAGGAGGGAGG